CCCTCTCTCTTCTCCATCGTTTTTCTATCACATGTCTCCTTTGAATTTCTCAGTTCTTTTTATCTCTGGTTTGTACGTCATCTTTCTCCCTCCTTTGATGATCGGCGAAGCCACCACAAATCGTGAATCGTGCCGGAGTCCTCTATCTGGGATCACTATGGGTTTTGCCAGGAAAGATTAGTAGAGATCGAGAGAATCTTGATCTGGTACATTGAAGTCCATCGGACTTCGATTGCGTCTTTGATTGAGATTTTCTGATTTCCCTCTCTCCTCCTTTTCTCTCTCTGCGACGGCTTCACAGAACTCGTTTCTGCTTCAATGTTGGTGACGCTCCTCGTTCGATATCCCCAATCTGTCGTTACAGGTGCGGCAACCGTGGATTTTAGATCTGCCACCTAAGGCTCCGATTGACTTCTTGACAGATCCGTTAGTGTGGATTTTGTAAGCCCGCAAGTGTATGATGTCAAGTTTTGATAGTAAAAGGTGAGTGAGTGTCATCTCCATAGAGATTGGGTGTTAAATTACCACTAAGTACCGCGAGTATCGTAATTCATCTTTATTTAAGAATCCGAACTAATTGAATTAGAATAGAACAAGAACAAATATAAATACAAAAATAAAATAAACTACGAAAACTCTTATGCACAAATGAATTAGGGACTTGACTTCAGCCTATCATTCATATATTCATCCTATTTAGCTATTGCTAGCCAATTCTACTCAATTCATTAATCTTAAGTTTTCGATGGTAATTTTACTCCCTCTCCCGAGTGCTGAGCAAAATAGTTTGCAAATCCCACTTAAACAATATCCCTATTAGCCTAATTGAAGCAAGCATCCATTAAGCAACCTAATTTTAATTACTCAAATTAATTGGCCTCCTGAACTCAACTAACTCTAGGTTGTGTTTTCCCAATTCTAATCTGTGAAAGTAACTCTCCCGAGCTTAAATCTACGCATTTATATCTCTAATCCATGAAAACACAAATTAGAGCAATTAATATAGAGAAACACAAATGAATTAAATGGAAATCAAACTAACAATTGACAAAATATTCAAAACATAGTTAAAATACGATTACATCAAGTCCTACAACAATAATCTAGCTCAACATAGAGGAATCCATGACCAAAAATAAAATCTAAAAACTAAAAAGGAAATAAAGAGAGAAGGAAGAACTATGTTAGAAGAATGATCTTCTGAGCTTGAATTTACCATCTTCTTTAAGAATCTTCAATGAAATCATGGGATTTAAGCCTCCAAAGTGTTGGTTTTCGAATCGAATTCGGATGCGGAAGCGTGGGGTAAGCGGATAGTGTATAACAAAAATTTTCATAAAACCTTTGAGATACTCTATAGATTATACTAATTTATGCACGAATAAATTAATCACATTAATTTACTAATTAAGAACTCGAATGGGAATTATACCTAGCAACCGATTAGGATGATAACTTGAGTTCTTTGACCTCAAAAAATCCTCGCTCCAATGCTTTATTTAGAAAACCTGAGCCTTCCTCGTCAATTCCTTGAATCTACAAAGACATGTGTGTGAGCACACCTGAAACAAAACGGGTTAACAAAAACACTCAAGAATTTCCACGAACACCAACGCATGCACAAAGTGAAATTTTTTTTTTTTATAAAAATTTTCCCTCTCACAACACCTGTAAAAACTGGCCACTATAGAAAATAGGAGCAAAAAATTGTATTCCACAATCTTCTATTATTCTCTTATTTATAGAATATAAGTAAAACTTCTAAAATGAATCTAATCTTTATCTTTAAGATAAAGTTTATTAATTATCTCCTATTTGAATTTGGAACAAAATTTTCTCTTCCCTTTATCCATTGTTGGCCAGCCATGCATAGGAGATCTTATCCCTGTGTGGCGCCAACTTGCAGATAGGGAATGAAGAGAAAATCATCATTTATCCTACAGTCTAATTTTGAGTCAAATTCAAATTTCAATTTAAGTCAAACTCAAATTAATTTGAATTATAAATTGAGCACCTTATCAAATAAAGTTAAATGGATAATTCTAGATGTGTTCACACTGTGCCTTGCGTTCACACTATGTGAACACTTTCACACGAGTGATCCAAAATTCCAATCTAAATTTTAATAATAACATTATTTAAATTATAATTAATTCTCAATTAATTATTATCAGTGTTTATTTTTAAAATTTCATTATTCTAAAATTCTCATTTTGTCCTTTAGTATCTTGTAGAATTATAAGGACGGCGCGGGGACTCATGGACCTATAATTTTGAGCTCCAATAAAATTAATAATTAATTAAACACTTTAATGAATTAATTAATCTTATTAATTCTAATAGTTACTCCACTATAAACTTGGAATTGCATTGTCGTAATTATAGATATAAATTACTTCTAAACCGTGAAGTGTCCATGTGATATAGTCACTATATATAGATCAATCCTTTATAAATAATTCATAATTGAAGCTAGGTGAAATCCGTTAACCTCTCTAATTACATCTTTATCCTTGAGTACCATTGATTCTTTAATGGACAGTGATTCATAAAATAAATTCATGAATCGGAGCTCTTGTTGGTCTAAGTACCGAATCAGCCCTCAAGAGAATTATTTATGTACTTCTTTCTCAAAAAGGAATGGATTTCATCTCGTATAATAACATTCCTGGCTACCTACTTCATCATGTCTCCAAAATACAAGGAATAGGATTCAAGATCTCAAAATCTGTACCGAGTAAATTAAAAGACACAAATCCATAAATAGGAGTCTGTTAAGAACTTAGGATTAAGATCATTCTATATATGACCATCGGTAGACTCAATTAAAACTTCTATACTTAACGGAAATTATCAGAAATTCATATTGTGTATGTGTCCTTGTTCCACATAATCTTATTATGGGTAATACACTCATTCAATATCTCATCATATTAACAGTGCGGATAACACTGTTCCATTCTAAATGGGAATGACATGTATTATGTTTTAATTAAAGATTCCAAACTTTAATTAAATTCATTACGAACACCATTTTTTATTATTATCCTTAAACATTATCCTCTCGCATATAACATTTATATACAACGTTTAAGGTTACATAAATAATTATGAAATTTTCATTGATATTCATAAAATATTCATAAATATATGCACATAAAATAATGAATAAATTCTTTTATTAAATAAATAATAAATATCCTATTACATCTCATGCTTCTAGGACATCATTCCCAACACAAAGCTCCTTCTTCTCTAGGGATTTTGTGCCTCTTTTTCCTCTCTTCCTCTCCTATTTTGACATCATATCGTGTCTGGGCACTGCAACGCATTAATTTCCCGTTGCAGCGCCGCTAAGGTTTTTGAAAAAACCCGAGCAAAACTGGTGCAATCGTTGCAGCGAATGGATTTCCTGCTGCAATAGGTGTGTGGTTTTCCTACTTTCGGGCAGGTTATCTGCTGCAACGGATGGATTTCCCATTGCAGCTGGTGTGTGAATTGGATGAGGATTTTCACTTTCTATATGGCCGAATTAGTGTTTGGTGTCTTCACGAAAGTTGTAGCACTGTCTCTTATCTTTCTAAAACCATTAAGATCCTTCATTTAGACTTCATATGAGAGAGTTATGTCCCAAATACTGAAATATGTTCTAAAGTCAAATTTTCACTCTTTTTATTCCATTTTAACTTCAACCTATAAAAACAAAATAAAAACACATTAAACTAACAAAAATGCTTGAAAACTTATAAATACTCAAGCTCAAAAGTACTAATTTGTGAATAAAATACTCACTCATCAGATTTCAAATATTGTGGTCAGCGACCTTATATGTTGTTTGGTTCGTTTTTTTCCTCCTTTTCTTAATGTGTATCAATATGGAAAAGAATACGTGTGTGTCGTTTTATGAATATTTTCTCCGTTTCTAAGTTAGGAAAAATGAGCATATATTCGTGGAAGTGTTGTTTCTGGCCTTTTAGAAACAAAATGATAAAATAACTAAAATTTGCTCATTCGATGTA